AGCCGTGGGGTCTGGGGCAGCAATGACCCTTCTCTTCCGTCCTTCCCCAGGGTTACTATGGCGTCTGTGTTCTTTTATATTCTAATTATGCTAATTTTTTGTTATATAGCCATTCATAATATTACTTTATAGCTGTTATCTTATGGGGTTAAAAGGTGTTGGAAATCATTATAAGAAGTTACTGCCCAAGTTTGGGTTTATCCAAGAAGCAAATTGCAACACAGCATCTTGCGTTTTGAAATTCACATTGCCCCGCCTCAATCCAGCCCCTTCAGAACGCTCTAACGGTGCTTTTTTGAGATGTCCTTTCTTGAAACGTACTGGATAAGCTGGGCAGTTGAATCCAGTTTTGATCATCATCCAGGCTAAATTCTGAGCACGAAAGAAGTATTAGGTCAGCTAATTTCACAGCTAGGGCTTTGTCTTTGAGGCCTAGTCAGTCCCACAACCAGTTACAAGTTACATTTGCGGGTTACAAAAATACAAGCTTCATATTAGACAAAAGTTCCAAATGCCTCCAAGAAGCACATCTCTATTGCTTATTCATTTCTTTGGTTCTGGCCATCTTTGAATAGGGTGGCCATTCATCCGGTTTTATGGAGGACAATCTGGGTTTCCGGTCCTCTGTCCTCTACTGATATGAAACCAGATGCCTTCATGTCCTCTGTGTTTCACCACTTGGCACCCTGAACCCTGCCACCAATACCATTGCTGCCGCCTGCGGGAGCTCGCCGTGCCCCCCCAGCCTCGGGAGACATGCGACATTTGTGGTGGTGGGGACAGTTGCACTAAATGCAACTGTCCTTTATTCTTGAGGTACCTCGATGGCCACCCTATCTTTGAGGCACCCTGGCAGATGTATTTTGCTTCCAAATTTCATACTTGAGGCAGGGCAGCATTGAGGAGGCTATTTGAAAAGTATACTCCCTTCATCTGGAACACGGTGTTGGAAGTGCTCAGCTGCGGACAGTTGCTAGCTGCCAGCAGCTAATGGAAAAAATCCCCTGCAAAACCTGCATGCTTGGAGCAGTCCAAGTGTATTTTAGGCTCATTCTTGAAGTGAAATTTTGAGTGGCCAGGATACATAGGAGAGAGACAAATTCCAAATGACCAAAGCTTTATTACAGCCTCTGGGATTATAGATGTGACAGTGAGCCCACCCCCACCTGCCAGCACCTGTATAGGCAGTCAAGGGTCCTTTGTTTGTGCAAATTCCTAGATTGTATAAAAAAAAAATTGTATTCCCTTGTTGAGTCATTGTATTTGGTTTGTCACTGCCCTGTTCCTAGGGAGGCCAGACAGCCCTCATGCTAGGGGTCAGCCACGACCGGGAAGATATGGTGAAAGCGTTGTTGTCCTGCAAGGCTGATGTAAACCTAAAGGATGATAATGGAGTATCAGCGCTGATGGTTGCCTGTCAGCAAGGAAATGCCGAGATTGTGAAACTTCTTCTGGCTCACCCGGAGTGTGATGCCACCTTGACTGACAAGGTAAGAGAGACAGGTAGTTGCAGCATGAACTTTAAAGAGGTGAATGAGCTCAGTAATTGAATCCCAGGAGGCAGGCAATGAACATATATAGGAATCAGATGGCCTTCCTACCTTAGCACTGGAGTGTAAACTAGGTATCTCCAAAGAAGCATCCCTCTTATCAACATTTCAGCAAGTGGACTCTGGCTCTGCGCCTCACCTGTCTCAGCAGTAATGAGAACCGGAGCAGTGGAGGGACTTGGAAGAGAATTAGCTCCATTATTGATTCTAAGCCAGGATGCATAACTGCATGGAGAGAGATGTAACAAAAAAAATGAGGTTAGCACCTTCTGTAGGCAACTTGCTATCTGAAGAGTCCCCCACAAAGCATCCCCAAATGTACCAGGTACAGTTCTACTCCATTAAGCAGCCAATGATTTTTCAGTCCATTGAGCATTCATTTAGGACAGGGTTCAGAGCACACTAAAGTAAACTCATAAGTGGCTCCAGTCCCAGACCACAGGGGCCTCCTAACTTGGAGTTTCAGCATATGAAAGAGCAAATGAAAGAGAGAGGTTTTAGTGTAGGCTTTGTCCCTTTAAAATACTAATAACTAGTAACACCTGGCTTGCACAGATGCACTCTGGCACTCAGGATGTTTCCTTTTTTAGATGTTTGCTGTGACCAGAAAAAGCCCTTTGCTTTTGTCAGCGTGGATTAGAGACGACAAGTAGTTTACAAATGATAGCACATGTTCCACTGATATTTACTATATAATTAGAGTTAAAGCTTCTTGAAAATAATGATGGTCTACTAACTCAGCCTTAATCCACCTTTATGATGCACCGCACCTAAACTGCAGTGATATCCTGTGCGAACAGACTGATGCTTCATTTAAACCATAGAGCATTATGTTAAGTTAAGACCCATATGTCTGTATGAACCAAACCAAGGGCAACTTAAATTGCATAATGCTGGCAGTAGACAATAGCTACCGTGTTCCAGCTATGGCCAATGCTCAGTATAGGAAATCCAGGTTCCTTTATGCGTGCACCCAAGAGATGCAGTCATTTGGGACCCGTGGTGATAGGACTCCATAAATGCCTGGAGAGGGAAGGTGTCTCTGCACAATGCTGCCTAATTATAGACACGCACCCAAACACTAAGGTAAAAGAGCACTGATTCTCAACCATGGTGCTGCGATATCCTGGGGTGTCTTGAGTTCTTTTAAGGGTGCCCCAGGGTGGCATGCAAGTGTTAGCATTGTTAGGTATGTAAACATGGTTCACAGGATTAACTCAGAGATTTCAACTAGAAATCCATAGCTTTAAAAACATTTTGATCTGTTGTGGTCTTTCTGACTTCTTTGCAATAGAAGAATAGTTTTATTATGTTTCTGCGGTCAAACAACAAGTGCAAATTAAGAGCTGGCATTTCTGAGGGATGTCTTGCATTTAAAAAACTTGAGAACAGCTGTAACAGGGGGGCAAACAGGAGAGATTTTAGCAAAACCTAACGATGTGTCTGAATTTTTAACATCTGGAGCCAACCAGGCTGAACTTTCAAGCTACCCTAAGCAATTATGGTAATTCTTTCCTCAAAAATTACAGGAAAAAAGGTGGGAGGGAAAGGAGGGGAGAAACCACCTTGCCCTTGACAGCTAGTAATTAAGCTCTTCCTAGTCTAAGAGTTGCAGCTGCCTAAACTAGAACATGAACCAGTGCTGTTTCATCTTTCCATCGAGTAGTGAAATCCCAACATCTCATCAGGGCTAATTCAAAGCAGACTGTACAGCCAAACTATCTCCAGGCAGCCCTCTTTCTACATTTTATTGTGATGGAAACCTAGAGAGATGACTTACAGCCATTATGAGCAATATCATCATTATTTTTTATTTGTATTATAGACGCACCTACAAGCCTCAGTCACAAGCCAAGACTGCATTGTTCTAGGCTCTATCTAAAACTCTACACATACAATACACCACCATGTATAGATATCCAAGTTGTCATCAGCATGGCTTCCTGTCCAGACTACTTGTCCTCAGCAAGGATAATTAGTCTGCACAAAACACTGCTATACAAAGCTGTATGTGGCTTTATATCATCCACCGCACTGTGCCGTATAAGCATATCCAAAGACACTCTTATGGCTGCGTGAGCTACAGACAGAAAGTGTGTGCTGTGTTTTACAAAACAGAAAAAGAGAATGACACAGAAAGGGCGGAGAGTTTGTAAAACAAACAAAACATGCTATTTGGACACAAATCAAAATGTTTTATGGAAATATTCAGATTCCTTCTAAATTCCCCATTTTTCAATATTCACTTTTTTGTTTTTTGTTTTATAACATTAAAAGCATTTTTCCCATGGGAAAAATCCCACTCAGTTATACTGTCCCAGCTCCACTCCTTTTCCAGTTAAGAAAAAGATATTTAAAATGTTAGTATGTTTATCCAGCCGAAATGTTCAATGATTTGTTGGGCAACGCTGGTATAATGGGTCGGATATAGGCCTGAGAGTCAAGAGGCTCAGACTTGCTGTGCAACTTTGGACAAGTCACTTAGATGTCTAAGAAGTTAAAAACCTGAGAAGTGATGAACTATACTCATATTTAGTACTGTGAGTATATTTACTGTACTCATATTTTGTAATGATGGTCAATTTTTTCCTCCATTAAAACTAGTTTTGTTAGAAAATTCATGTTTCGACTAACCTTTTTTTTTTGGTTGGGGAGGGGGATAAAAAGTATCTGCTTTACACATAGATCTTTGGCTTTTCAATTAAAAAAACCCCTGATACCCTTACATTAAAATATTTCCACTTGTAGTTACTGCAAGTTGGTTTCTGGGAGCTGTAGTTTAGTGATCTTATGTCCCCATCCTCCTTAATGGGCTTTATTTTCTGGCTGGACTACATTTCTGTTCCAACCCCGGACAAATTTCCACAGGGACTACTCCCCAGGCTGTTTTACTGGACACAAACCTTGTTTGCTGGATCCAAGCCTCTTAGTTTGCTGGGGCTGAGGAGAACTTGGGTGCCGCTTTTCTGGCTCCCTTAGTGCACTCTCCAGGTGCAGACGCCCTCTTGACAATGAGACCCAATTGCCTAGGTCCTAAAACTAGTGACAGCCACCCCAACCCCAGCACCCCCTAGCTGTGCATGGCTCGGAGAGCCACAGAAGCCGTGGTCCTTCTGAGTTACTAGTTCTCTCTTTGTGAACTACTACAAGGAAAGCAATTCAGTGAGGCTGTAAAAGCACCCGCATAACTCACTGACAATATCAGAAGTATATGGTTCCCAGGGAAAAAGCCCTATAAAACCTGTAAGCGACCTCCACAATCTCCATATGATTGTAAGAGCCCTTCTGGATATAGTCAACATCTTTTCAAGCCATTCTGGATTACTCTCCTGTTCAGTCCAGAACAATTCTAGTAATTTTTTAAAGAAGCTTTAATATTTAGACACTCATGTTAATGACTTGACTGTCTGTGTAATCAGACATTCACAGTTCCTCTGATAATCCCAGCTCCAGTAGTCACTTTGGAAAGATCTTTAGGAGCTGGATGATCATATCAGAGATTCACAACAGGGAAAAAAAATTGCTCCATACATGTACAGGCAGAAAGGGATACATACCATTGAGAATAGGCCACATCTTTTCTAGACATGCGGGCTATAGCTGCAGCCTTCCACTACAAATGGCACTGTAGGTGCAGAATATGTCTAGTTTGAGGTTTTAAATTTGGCAGCATCAGTCAGGCCATTAGAGATGCATTGCGCCCACAAAATTAACCCAGGTTTTTTGAAAAGCTTGCCCCAAGTCTATTAAATCCTGCTGAGAACGTACAAGATAAAATCCTGGCATCACTGACGTCAAATGGGTTTTTACCAATAATCCCTGAAAATGGCTCAGCACATCGTTTAACACGAGTAGCTCAGATCAACTTCTGCTGTTCAGAGACATTTAAATTGCTCCAAATTTCACCAGTGCACCTGAACAGTAGAAATGAGCAGCTCAGATACTATCAAGAGTGAGTGTTGCAACAAATACCCTATCACTGACACGTATCACAAATTTCTGTCCTCTTCCTCCACTACGCTTAGGTTAGACAGATTACTTTGGTGCATGGAAAGTATAGGCTCAGAGAAGATCACACTGTCACTTTCCAACAAAACGAACAAACAAACAAAACCCCCTAATTTCAGTCCTGGAAGGATCATCTTCAGTAACGAGAGAGAGACTATCACAGTCTTACTGAAGATTTATTTAAAGGAGATTTGAAATAGTGCTGAATAACTGGCCATTAATTCCTGAATAGAAACTGTTTCTTACAGCCCATCTGTCAGGTGTCTACCTGAGATTATGATGTAATGTGAATACTACAGAAGCAGCAGAAGAGGGAAAATTTCTTAGGATAAAGATGACAATTTGAGGCAGTAATTCAGCTTCTTGGGTGTCTGTGGAATCTGGAAGATTATATCAGAGTCTTTTGCTCTGTTTTACATGATTAATATCAGTAAAGAAGTTAGGCTAGTATAGGATGGAGCTATGCCACAGTGTAACATTATGTGAAGGGTCTTATTTGAATGATGACAGCTGCTGATACAAAACTAGTCGTGTACTGAAGCCCCCCCCCAGTCAATCCAAATCCATCTCAAAGCTGCTCTTTTGTAGCCTGTGCCTTGCTATCAGATTTCCCTTGTGCAGCACAAAGAAGTCTTGCTTCTAAGTTTACTGACAAGCCGTTTTCAGGATTGTGACAAGGACTGAACAATGCCATTTGCATAAGCACAATAGGCATGTCTAATTGCCAGACCAGCTGCAGGCTGGCAGCACCGCACAGAGGTGAGTTTCTGAGGGATCACATGCAATGGTTGGAAGAGTGGCCCTTCCATGCGCAGTTTGGGTTTAGTTTCAGTGTCTCTGAAACCACCACTCTCACCTCTCCAGGGCAAATTTAGTAGACTTCACAAAAAGAGCAACTCTTCTCTGATGCCAGGTGAGGGTGAGAGAACAAGCCAGGGTATCTGAACCTAATACAATAGACTGATCCAACTATTCAATTCACAAGTGTTTGGTCAGTGGCAACAGGTACAGAGACATGCTCATGAAGACCAGTATAGTCTAAGTAAACAGCACTATGTCTTAACTATGCAGTACCTAATTGGGAAGAGCCACTGCTGAGAGCACCAAAAGTAGGTGAAGATAATACTGATATATATATATATATATATGTATGATTCTGATTGCATATGTTCAAAGAATTTGATTTCAAACTGGAACAGCTGGTAGGATGATTGTAGGAGTGTGCAAGAGCTTGGATTGCTTAACCTAGCAAAATGAAGGCTGAGGGGGAACATGGTTGTTTTCTATAAATACATCTGGGGCTTAGCATATGAGAGGAGACTTTTTCAGTGGAAGGATAATCTTATTGCAAGAATAGGTAGGTACAGACACCATAATGAAATGCAGACTAGAAATTAAAAGGTTGCTAACTCTCAGAAGAGTCAAGTTTTAGGAGAGTTTGCCAGTGGGAGGAGAGCAAGGGACCTAATTGATTTTATGATGGAGATAGATAAATTTATGGAAGAGATTATATGATACGCTCGTCTGAAACTGCAGGATATGGGATTCAGTGACCCAGGAAGTTCTGTTTATCTGTGTCCTATGATAAGGTCAAGAAACAAGGCTGCCAAGATTGTCTTATAGTGAATCAAGTCATCCAACCTCAGGGCAGAGAGCCCAGAGTTATGATCCTGGGTTGCAAGCAAATATAATTATCCGATTTAAACATGTGCAAGTGGAGACCGTGATCATCTCCCTCAACAGAAACTCATTAACTTTGAATGTCAGGAGGTTGGTGCCCTGCTATTGAGGTAAAGCAGCTGCTCTGATAGCTAAGGGTGTGAGTGGCAGAGTTTGCTAATTTACATGAGCACAGACTGCCTGGATTCACCCGCATCTCCTTACACTTGATGCCATTATCAGGAGCAGACACGAAAGGTAGAAACTTCTGACATTCAAATGCCATTTTGCTCTGTAAGGAATAATGAAGGCAATAATTTTGACTTTGGGGGATATTTTGTCACTGCAGTGTTTGCAGCTTCTTCAACTGAAGAGCCACACAGAAGCCTGCACATTCAAAATTGCTAATTAACCTCAGCTGTGCTGTAAGATTTGTAAAGATCTGTAAAGTTCATGTTTTGGGTTTTTTTTCTTTCTGTTTCCCTTCCCCATGTAGGATGGCAATTCTGCTCTGTCTGTTGCTCTGAAGTCTGCCCACGTGGAAATTGCTGAGCTGCTCCAAGCCCACATAGAGCAGAGCTCGTCTTTGTCCAAATAAGGGAAATCAAAAACTCACATTCATTGGAATGAGGAATGGGTAACAAAAGGCTTATTCTTTTAACCGCTCCGCTTCCAATTTAGATGGCTACGATTGTGGCCATACTGCTGGTTTCTAGACTTATTGATGGAATGAACTACGTCAGCTATTTGCATACATTCCTAATGTATAATTTTCCTCATTAAGCCTGCTTTTATAGCCTTAACCTATGCATAGTGCTATACATTACTCCAATACTGTTCCAAAGAGTTAGATTATTGTACTGTCTTTTATTAACATGGTTGATGTTAAAGCTGAATTCTCCTATGTCCCCCTCATAGTCTAGTTTTGCCAGATTGGTGAACAAAACACTCCCTCCCTCAAAGCACATCTGAAAAGCAATACTTACTTTTTTTAATAACTTTAGATGATCATGTTCTTTTTAATCAACTATTTAAAATACATCTCATTTAACTTGCAAGGTTGTGTCTTACTATTTATTGTTAGCCTTCTGTATGTGTTAGCAGTCCATGATTGTTTAGTATATGTAACAACAAATACAAATTGGATAGATTATGTAAAAATATCAAATCCTATTTATGTTTGGTTATGCGGCTCAGATGTAAGAATTAAAATTAATGCTCTAGGAAAACATTTGAATGTACCAGATCCAAATACACAGACATTGTTTTTTCTTGTATCTGAAAGCACCATATGGCTCTTATTTTTTTTAATCAGGTTTAAATTAACCAGGAAACATGGTCCATTGATACACACTATATATCACTTAGAGGATGTGCAGGCACAATTGTGATATATCAAATTATCCTAAACATTGCACAGGAAACAAATGACTTGACCATAACAAACTTCCCTTCAAGGATAGGTTAATATAGCCTCATGATTAGGAGAGGGTTTCATGATTATTTTCCATAGAGCCATTTCTGATGAGTGCCTTTTGGGCAAACATCTGGTCTTCAGTTTCCATCATGCTAATCTTTTGGAATCCCCCTAACTGGGCAGATTTAAATCTGTATTGTAATTTAACCTGCAGCTCTTCCCCCCCTTTAATGCAAATGAATTCCCAATTTCAGGGAAGTTTGGGTTCCTCCCTGAAAGCTATAACCCTTTGGGGCCTGGCACTATTCCAGCACTGTCTACAGTACGTACAGAAGGCTGAGCTTTCCTCAGTTCCAATGGCACAAGCCTTCCCCTTCCACAGTAGGTTAGGCATGCCTCAGGGCTGTTCCTCTATGGGTCCAATCCTGCAGAGTGATGAGAACCTCCTGTGAAACACCAAGCAGCCTCAGTTCCCACTGAACTCAGCATCTCACAAGAATTACTTACTGCTTTGCACGATCAAGCCATAAGTCCGTCTTCCATTCTCACAGTTTCTTGTGCGTTGAGATCAGATTAACAGTGTTAGAGCTCTTTCATTTAGGACCCAGTCTAATGCCCAGTGAAGTCATAAGAGCCTTTGCACTCACTTCAGTCTGGAAAAATCATACACTTGATTGTGCTTGATCTTCAAAGTTGTGCGCGGTGCAAAGCCATTGAAAATGGAGTCAGTAGAATTTACAAACAAATAAGATGTGCTCTTTTGCCAACTTCCTCACTTTTATTACTAAACAGAACCTAATCTTTGACTGACAAACAACAAGAGAAAGTTAGCAATTAACAGACTAAAACCCATTGGGGACCTTATCTCCTTCCTTGGTATTTACAATGTACATGAAGACCATTTGCAAGACTGATAGCATGATCCATTTCTGAGACTGATAGCAGATGCACCATTCTGGTGTTTTCATGCTGAAATCTATGGTACAAGTAGTAATCGCTTTTTTTTTTAATCCAAAGCATTCTTAACAATCACTGCATCTGAAGCATCTTCCATTTTTAACTGTATATCCAAATGAATTTAGCTCCTTCATGCCTGAATAAAGGTCTGATTTGATTTTACTTGGAAAACAAGTGCATTTATTTTCATACCTATTGGGATAGATAACACATTTTACAAGTGAACTAGTTTTCTTTGACATGGGACCATCCCTCACTGGGCACATCTACACGTTCATAAATTTGCCTTTGCTAGTGCACATTAAGTTTAATACCTCTAATACAAGGTACTTGATACAAGCACAGTAGCTGCACTAATGTGCAGTAACAATGGCAAACTTTTTTTGTGATGATTAAGCCGCAGTAGACTAATTCTACTGTGCATTAGCACAGTTTTTGCCATGATGTACTGATGTGCAATAGAAAAGTCCGCTGCGCATTAAGGTGTCTCATGTCCATGCACCCAGTAAATCTGACTTCATTGTTATCAAAGTTAGTGAAAAAAATTCTCTTGACTTTGGAGTGAATTGAAATAGAGCAGTGTTCAACATAGAGTATGAGTCAAGTCATAGGGGTATTTTGTAAACTCTGCATGTAGATGAGTTTTGTTATTAGATGCTATTCAGTAATTGAATTGCATATAACTACAGGATAGTAGATACACCTCTACAAACCCCAACACATTATAGTGGGAGAACAAATCCCTGTCTGCATGCAAGTAGGTCTCCACAAATGCATTGACAGGAAATTTTTTAAAGTGATTAAACAATGCCAGGATTACTAAAACAAGTCATGGAATTTGAGAGGTAATCAATGCGTTAGACCAGCTGTCCGAGGTTAAAACAAGCACAAAATCAATTTAAAAAACAATCTAAGTTGTCCAAACATTACTGTCCTTTCTGCTCCATGAGGAAAATACAAGACAAAGCAAAATGAAAAAAAGAATGTAATTTAAATGCTAAGCATAATCTTAACT